GTATACGCTTCTGCTAAATCAGCTCCTGTTAACACACGAATTTTTGCATCGTTTTTGAACCATTGTTACGTTTTTCTTTATATACATATATTATTTCATATAGCTGCCGAGAAAAGGAAATGCCAAATAGTTTCTTGAACAGTACCGGTACGCAAATAGCATGCAGGAGGGTAGGGCAGGGAAAAATAAACATATATTGATGAATCATTGTAGAAATAGTTCGAATAAAAATAGCAAAGGTATAGCTTTCGAGCACGGAGAAATATGAATTCGTTAATGTGGTTATAAGTTAACGTTTAATTGGTTATATACACAGCACTAAAGTACTTCCAGTACTAAAGGAATTAACGTCTGCAAATATGGTTCACTTGCATGGGTTTGAGAGAAAATTTCATTTATATATGAAATTTATAGGCCTATACGCCACTTTATTTCTTTGCATTGCATGTTTGCAAGAACGTAACGTTTTCCTGTGAAACTACTAGATCTGAAAGTTTGAAGAAATTCTAAAGTAGAGCGGCTAAGAAAATAGTGATTTAAATAAGTATAGTTCGTGGCTACGAGAACGCTATTACAGAATTTAAGGAACCACTGTATTCATATATTTTTCAGCCTGCCCATGAACGGTTTGTGATGGCGTTGTTAATTCTGCATGAATGTACTATAATTTTATATTGAATATTCTGGTATAAAATGAAATGGCGATGTGTTATAAATAAGCCTCTCTTGAACTCGCCCATGGAAACATTCCTCCATCTACATCGTTAGAATGAACTACCAATAGCGTGATTAAATTAACTTTGGTATTTAACTTGCAGTGTTTCTAGCATTCCAACAGTTGTACGTTAGAGTCATATGAAAGTATATGAGCATCTCTGTTTCACAAAAGTATTAAATCTTTATAACGTATAAACAGTCAATCGATTCCATAATGAATTTTTAGCAATAGCGATGTGCTATAAGCTTCTCAGTTTTAGTTTTGCATCTCTCCTATGCAAATTACAACATCATGCATTAATTATTTAGTGCAGGCATGGGTAAATGCACCAAATCTACGACGCGGACGTAAACTGTATTTACAGACTCCTTAATTGGGTGCAACTCCTTAATTACTAATAAACAAAATCAGAGCCATGCATGTGCATGTACAACAAATTAAACTTGGGTTCCTGAGACTAGCAGCTGTTTTCGTCTCACCTCCGCATGCGTGCACGTGCATGGTAGATTTAGTGCATCATGCATAAACTCGCTATATTATTACACCATAACGGCACGCGACTCGTGTTTAATTCTTAATATGATTTAGTTTATAGCTGACACTGTCTCACAACAAGCCTAGCTCTTACGGATTTAGGGAGATGTATACTTATTCCATCGACACGAAGACCATGAACAACCACTTCACTTTTGTGGAAAATGTTGGATGTCCATTCATTTTTTACTTCGCAAAGCACGCAATCACAAACACGTCTCATGGCTATAGTTTTTGTCCACTATATTTATAAATCAACTACAACACATCAAATATATCATGACGAATATGATATCCGCGCTAATTACATTTACAGTCAATAACGAAATTACTTTCGCCCGTTCAGTGAATTTCGTAAAACCATGAATTCTTTCTGAAATTCCAATGCACTGAAAAACCTGGTTAAACTATATATCATGTAAGTCGTTAATCAATTTGTAAAAAGATAATAAGGACCAGGCTTGCTTTTGTAACCTTGGATGCAACTTAACAACAACTTTAAGAAGCAATCCTATTACAACAATTTCAACAAATTTATACATAAAACAAAAGTATTGAAACGACTTGATCATACTATTGTTCGACGGTTCACAACCTTCAGTGTGGTTGTCAAAATTGTTGTCAAAGTTTAATATCCATGCATGCACTTATATGTATATATCTAGCATTTCAAAAAGCAATTCATGAATGTCACACGGAATATATCAACGACTGGTATATATATAATATAGAGATTTCGTATAGTAAAACAATGATTCAAAGAAAATATATAGTTAGACGTCCATACCGGCAGTGCCATGCAGTTTATTTAAGATCTTCCTTAATGTTCGTTTCGCTGTTTCTTGAATTCAGGAAATCGTAGTGCGTCCAAGACTTGTCTTCAACCGCGTGTTGGAGAGATGGTCCGTCTCTGAAATGATCACAAAACTGTATCAACATAATAATCAATAGTTATGTGCATGTTGTGCATGGCGAATTGTGCTGCCTTTATACTATAGTTCTGTCGAGAACAATAAATGATCATATCAATATATTCCCATATAGGTTAATCTTTTTTGACATGACTAAGCAATGACCCGCCTAGTATTAATGCATGACCACAATCACGTTAAGTTTTCATATCTTTCGTTAACATTCATATCTATGCTTCAAATCCAAGACGCAAAGGGTGAAAAAATCTCCGTAAATATACACGCGATATTACCTGATTAGAAATTTAGAACAAATCCCTGCTAATTATGTACTAGTCGATACCTGCGACCAACTCTGATTATGTGTAATAATAAATAATCTGTCGCATATTTGAAAAATTCTTTGGTGTTATGTTTCAATTTTTTACATAACGATACTTTGTATCAAGACTTGCAAGTCATTTTGTTAAACATTCTTTTCTAGAAAGAAAGAACCCCCTGTTGATTTCTTTCAACTCGACTCAGCCCTCTATATATGGCTGATGATACCGCGGATTTTATTCCAGCCATGAGCCCACTATACGAGCCTGGGACTGTGGCACAGACACCAAGCCATGAACTTATGCCTGCAGAAGCAATTCGACGCGAGGCTTAGCCCAGATAATCACAGTGACTTATTTCTGAAAAGTTTAGTTTCCCAGGCTACACCCTTATCACAGGCAAACACTAGGCGTGGACCGGCACGTATAGTATAAAAATACCTATGGTTTTCGAGTGCGCACTGCGGTTTTTTGCCTGTTTGTATATGCATGTAACCGCGGTGATCAAGTAAGTATTGAAGCTGCGTAGATCAACGCGCACTTCTAGAATATCTGTCCATAAACACCATAATTTAGGGGGTTTTCCGGCAATTTTTTTCAATAACGTAGATAGCAAACCAAGCCATATATGTAATTTTGCGGGATTATACATGACGATTTAACGCGGCGTAAAGAAGAAAGAATAGAGTAGATGCTTTTCGAAAAGCAACAGGTATGAAATAATTCAAATCACATGGTTTTTTTCTATTTAGGCGATCCGTCGCTCGCTCTTTTTCGTTGGTGTAAAAAAATTAAACAAACCCTAGCAAGCATGCACGGTTCTTTATCACTTCTCCACCCCTGTCCAAAATGCGGGGGCGACGTTCATGGGCTTATACCAAACATGTAAACTACAGCCGACGCACGTAGTATTTTCCGCATTGTGTGGCCTTTGCGAGCGGAGAGGGCTACTTGGATGTTGCAAACGTATGCAACTGATTATATAAAAGATGATGTCCCAGTGTTAGGAATCTTAACAATGTATAGAAAACGATGTTGATTGTTATTCCATTTAATTTTGCTACCAGCTCAAAATTGCCCAAGAACCAAATCATATAGTATACTATATACGAGCAATAAATGATGACAATAAATGCGAAAGTGGTTAGCAACTTATTTATTTATTTAAAAAATATTTAAAATGACCAGGGAACAGCTTAGCAGCGTCGTCGAATAAGTTAACGACATACAACAACTCTTCTGACCTATATAGGTCATTAAGCCTTTTTGAAATGTCAAGAAGTCTAAGTTGGGCAGTTGCCTAACCACAGTCATGCATGGGAATATTTTGACAGAATAAAAAGTATAATGCGGTTATCGATGTGCCATAGTTAAGCCTCTTTTTCACTCATCACGAAGACCAACATGGAAGTTCGCTGCAAATACAGTGTCTTTCTTGAGGGAGGCAGGGGTATATTTGCGAGACTCAGGATTTCCCATTTGTGCGCACCGTGATTCGTTATACCTAAGCCATTATGCATGTGAATCAAATACTAGCTACATCGTTTAATTCAAAACATGTGCTGAATGCAAATCTTTACGAGTTCAGCGTATATACAATTGCCAAATATATAGCAAACTACCATTGAATTTTCCTCCTTTAGCTACATTTAATATTCATTTGTAAGGATTCTTCAAGAGGTTCAATCTTTTTGTTTAGCAACGTTTCGAACAGTTTTAGACAATCTTCAGCTACAACAGATACAACGTCAACAATCCTAACATTTATATAAACGTTGTAGCCTGACGGTGGTACGCTCCTCGGTGAGTTCGGGAAACTTCAAGCGATCTCTATAGTATAGGGGAGGAAATCCCAGAAACATCTCCATGCAATTATGTAGTATGTAGTATGTTACGGTAGTAGTAGTCTGGGAATTTACAACCAATATATACTGTTGTAATTACAATATATTGTTCTAATATAACTCTCCTGACCTTCACTAACTCTCCTGACGAAAGCCCACAGGTCGAAACGTCGAGAAGTGTTCTTGTCTATTTTAGACAGTTATACCACATTTGATGCTAAAGTTACGGTATATTGAATTTTAGAATAGACCGTAATTTATTCTGCCTAAGACTTGATCCATCACCGTGTTATACATTGCTGTTAGACTTTCGAGACCAGAAAAAATGCATGTGCGAATTAGAATAATTGTATAAGAATATTGTGTATTAACATATATAAGGCACTTTTTTATGGTCATTCGAAGATCGGCCTGTCTAGAAAATATATTTATCTACTTAACTCCCGCCAAACACATCTAGATCTACCTTAATTAATCGTTGGACTCTACAGACAATACACAGTACATATATATTCAAGCGCGAACAAAATCTCAGGAAAACTAACATAGCATGAGCAATTACTGCAGAAGCCTAGTACAAAATTTAAAGACATGCACATAAACGTGACGTACAATATACATGATATCAATTGAGATTGCAAAGTAATCTGCGTCAAACAGTATGTAGATTTCATCGATCAAAGAAGGAATGCTAATAATTTCGGTGTAAATTAAGCGATTAATTTGCGAAGTGCTGTTTTATAACTTCAGTGCATGGGTGTTATTTGAACTACACTGGCACTGTAAATTTAACCCGAATATGGTGTTAAATTTCATAATAACAACAAATAGAGATTTAGTTTGAAAACAACAAAACTATTTCATCAGAAACGGCGTTCAAAAACAGGTAAGACGGATTCTGTTGCAACTAGCAAATCTGATTAAGCACATTGTTGTGCTTTATAATCCGTTGTAACCTTCATATACGCGACCCTTTTCCATGCCTGTATAGTGTCCAAATAAAATACTTTTAGCGATGCGGGAAAGTAAACGTTATACAGACTTGGTTTTGAAAAAAATCCGGTTTTAAGACTTCGTTCCGCTTTTGTGTTTCCAAATAGCTTGAGCTGCATGTTCGATGTAAAGATAATCTTCCTGATTTGTCATAGCGCGACCCCCCTCACCCACTTTATCAATCAAAATGCTTCTTAGCTGATTTTAATCATCGCATGCAGTGAGCCAAAAAAATTGGTTTCTGCGATGAGCTGCTATGGACGTTATATTTATGCATGCAACAACTCCAGACAATATATTTACTCTGAATTCCCGGATCGTCATGCTTATGCCTGGTTTCCATAAAGTCGTAAGTGTCGGGAACATGTTAAGGAGGCTGATGTGATAAAATATTTCTATTTGTGTGCAGTCAGCAATGACTGGTTTGAATACGGAAAGACAAATTCACAACCGGCCTATTTCTCATCGGGAAAAAGACTCGTTCACGACAATTACGATTTAATGGAAACCAGGCTTAAACCATGGGTGTACATATAAGCCTAAAAGACGAGGGCCTTGGCGAGAAATCATGAACGCAAACAAATTCGGGTTAAAGCTTGGGGTACTTTTTTGGGACACCCTGTATTGTATATATATTACTGTATTATAAATAAATATCATAAAACGCCATATACGATCAGTCAAAAACCTGGACTAGCCAGTAACTGTTACATCTCATATATGTAGCGTAACTTTCCCAGGCGTTTTTATTTTATGTGCAGTTTGGGGGTTTCTTCCTTGAGGAGAAGGGTGCGGGAATTCTCCCTATATATACAAGCTAAGAAACGCTTTGCATGAGGTTGGTGTCAGTCGGTGCCAGAGGCAAATATAGAGCATATAATTAATTTACGCTAATTATAAAAGCCAACAAAACAGTATAGATTGTGTACATGTAAATCAAATCACAAACCCCTTTTATCAAAATATCGTAATCTTAAAACCATAAAGTTTTGAGTTATTTAATGAATTATATACCCTCCAAACCATGCATGAATTAAGACGTTTGATACCGGAATTTGTATTTTAGAGCAGTACTTTTTCTTGAACCTATTTTGTTATTGCAGAAAGGCGTAGTCAGGGCAGGGGCTAGGGAGTTCAGGTAAAATTTTGAAACCTAATGAAGAAAATAATTTCAATTCATTCATTCGTTGGAAAAAAAATCAGAGTAGAAAAATAGTTGGGTTACCACACAATAATTTACCTGCGCAGTGAGTCTTCAGAATGAGCTATTCTTCCAACATTCTCCAGACCTGGCTCCTCAAGTAAATCAGCTTCAACTATTGGTGGAAATGCAACTACAACATCGTACCATACGGGCTTATCCTTAAGAACACCCGATTTCAACAGGTCTTTCACCCTAGAAATACAAAGAACTGTTATAAGGAATACTTTCACCTCGAAAAGGTTAAATTTATAACTTAAAAATGTTCGCTAATTATTGGAAGTGAACTTTTCATATGTTCGTATACAGCGAATGAAGTGTAATATAAAACTTCACAATAATACCCTTTACAACCAGGGGCCGGTTGTATAAAACTATTTAACTACATTTTGCATAGTTTAATCCTAGTTAACTCTGATTGCTCAATTCTGTCTTCAACGATATAGTTAAAAGTTAGCTAATATTTTATACAACTGGCCCCAGCACTGCCCGAATATAGCAGCGGTCCAGTACGTATCTACGGAGTGGCGTAGCCAGAACGATATTTGGGGGGCGGTACATATTCATATATTTGTGATACACAGGATTAATTTCTTTTCAAATCAATTTTTTTACAGTCTGTTAACAGGAGTATATGAATATGGCTGTATCTATACGTAATATGATCGAGTTTCGTGTTAGGCTTTTTGTAAAAATAGTAAACAGTGTTTATGATTAATTCTTTTAAAAATCAATTTCTATAGTTCATCGCGTTTTTAGTTATCATCAACCGATACCAACGCTTGTTCGTATAGGTAGGTAGCAACCCTAACGTTTAGAACAATGCTCAGGAATCGCAAAGGTGTAGGCTTCCTAGAAAAATCACTAGCGGAGAGATCACGAGGAGAAGAATCACTAGCGGAGAGATCACGAGGAGAAGAATCACTAGCGGAGAGATCACGAGGAGTCTTGTAGAATCACTAGCGAAGAGATCACGAGGAGAAGAATCACTAGCGAAGAGATCACGAGGAGAAGAATCACTAGCGGAGAGATCACGAAAAGAATCACTAGCGGTGAGATCACAAAAAGAATCACTAGCGGAGAGAGCACGAAAAGAATCACTAGCGGAGAGATCACGAAAAGAATCACTAGCGGAGAGATCACGAGGAGAAGAATCACTAGCGGAGAGATCACGAAAAGAAGAATCACTAGCGGAGAGATCACAAGGAGAAGGATAACTACCGGAGAGTTTACGAGGGGTAAAATCACTACCGGTGAGATCACGAGGAGAAGAATCACTAGCGGAGAGATCACGAGGAGTAAAATCACAAGCGGTGAGATCACGAGGAGAAGAATCACTTGCGGAGAGATCAGGAGGAGTAAAATCACAAGCAGTGAGATCACGAGGAGAAGAATCACTAGCGGAGAGATCACGAGGAGAAGAATCACTAGCAGAGAGGTCACGAGGAGAAGAATCACTAGCGGAGAGATCACGAGGAGAAGAATCACTAGCGGAGAGATCACGAGGAGAAGAATCACTAGCGGAGTGATCACGAGGAGAATCACTAGCGGTGAGATCACGAGGAGAAGAATCACTAGCGGAGAGATCACGAGGAGAAGAATCACTAGCGGAGAGATCACGAGGAGAAGAATCACTAGCGGAGAGATCACAAGAAGGATCGCTAGCGAAATATGATTATTGTCAACTTTCAAATCTTCGTTGGTTCGGGTGTAAACCAAATGAGTAAATAAATATTGAATTCAGCTTTGTTGTTGGAACATTAAAAAAACAGCGATTGTACTGGAGGATCCCTTTTGCATGATATAACATTTATATCGCATAAAATTGTTATTTGAAAGTTCCGGATGTGCAGTTCTCCAGATCAAACCTACCAACTAAGTGAACCAACCAAACAACCAACCCACCAAATCTATTTACCAACATATGATCTAGGATCATAAGTTTACTACCATGTGGATATAACTTCTACTTACACCTTAACCGTACGTGTTCCAATTTGATGTAAATTAATTCTATTCTTTTTTCCATTTGCACAATTCAGCAAATCTATCATAATACTCTTTCGGTGAGATGCTGAGAGTTAATAAAGGAATCACAGGCAGTGGTATCATTAGCAAAGGGTTTCTTGAGAAGGGAGAAATTGCAGAGGAATTGCTAGCAGAAGGATCACCAGCAGACTGGCATCAAAATGTTAGGAAATGGATTAATTATTAGAAAAAGATTACAAGCAGTGGAATTACTAGCAGAAGGGTCACTTGCTGAGAGATCAGCAGCAAAGAGATTACTAGTGAAAAGATTACTAGCAGTGGAGTTGCCTAGCAGAAGGAAGGCAAAAAGATTAATAGAGAAGGAGTTACTAGCAAAGGAAATACTAGTTACTTTAGATATCACTAATGTAGGGATTTTACATTTTTAGACAGTTAAGGGCACATATCAGGTTCAAATGCATTCAATAATTGTTAAAATTGCCCACTCTGAGGTGGGTAATGTGGGTTAATGCATAAAAAGGTACTTCAATGAACAATCAATTTAAAATGTAGCAGAATAATAGCATTGCTACAAATTGCCTTTGTTAAAAATCTAGCCTGGGCACGGCAAAAATTATCACAGGTTTCCAGATAAAGAAAAATTTATTCCACCTTAACTAGATGAGCAGGTGATCGGCATATGTATTTGGTATATGGTTATATATTCTGGAGGGACTCTTCATGAAGTAGTGCTGCCCATAACATAATAAGAAACTTCACACTTTTTTATACATAATCCTATTAATAACAGTCATAGAACAAACAAGAGTGCAATTGATGCCAAGATCATAGGAGTGATTACAAAATCAACTGACTGCATAGTAGGAGGTTGATTTTCTATTACCACAAGTATGACTTTTTAAAATGTGATCTGTTCTATAATTACATATAATATAATTATCTTTAGCTGTAATAAAAATGGGAGAAAATGCATTTTGTACTGGAGTGCATTCAAAGCTCATTCAATGACTTTTATAATAATGCTTAAATCAAGCTTCTCTGAAGTAATAAAATTCATTATTGGCATTTGACTATAAGGGCATTTATCTTTTTGTCATTGAGTATTCATGCACTGTGTTGCAAGGTAGTGAATGACTTCAGCATTTGATACAATTTTGTGGTAAAAACTGTTAGCAAGAAAAATGTAAAAAATTTCAGCAAGAAAAACAGTTGATACCTTGATAACAATGTCCCTTTCAAATGACGAGAACTTGCCATACTCAAATGTAGTTGGTAACCCCTTTGCCTCAAATCATATCTGATATCTATATGTCGATATAGCACAATTATATTGCCAATAGAATTTATAAGCTCTCCCAGCCGGTTTCTCGGTTTCTCGTCCGCTCCTTAGGAATTTAAGAGGACATAACTCATATTTCCTAAAGCGTCCCCTCACATCCCTGTCGTGGGGTTGATATACTTTGTGTAAGCACAAGCGTAAGCAGTATTAAAGTGAGCAACGTAATAGCGATTAGCGAATGGCGATTATGTAATGTGTAGTCAAGCAGTCCAGCATTGTGTTATTTGTATATGCTGATAAACTATCGAGAAATTTCTTTATAGGATTACGTTATCACCCAACTAATCAGCACGCGCGTACTATAAAAGTTATATTATAAATAATTCTATTAGACTATGTCATATGATTATAGTACAGCCTCGTTCCAAGGCGCTTTAAATAAAAACGTTAAAATCTCTGGTTAAAATGTTTACTATTTTACGAGCTTTCGGCTGTTAAACTACAGTTTTCAACGGGTGGGGAAAGTGGAAGTGTTATAAGAATGAAGACATTAAAAACTTGTCCTTGGCGCGTTTTCTCGATACCTTGTTGGTATAGCGTTTCCTTCCTCAAAAGGTGTTTTTCAATTTTGAAGTGAGAAATATTATAAACAAAGAGAAATTTCACTAATCTGAGAGTCTGAAAAAGTTTGTAATAAAAAACAACAGATGAATGATTTGATGGTAACCAGGGTTAATCATATTGGAAAATATGGACGTTCTCTGGTTAAAATGTTTACTATTTTACCAGCTTTCGGCTGTTAAACTACATTTTTCAACGGGTGGGGAAAGTGGAAGTGTTATAAGAATGAGCACATGAAGTTTACATTTACAAAGCGGTATGTATGACGTAATGACAGCTATAGAGGCAAAGTTGATAGACCCACTGAGCTATATAATAATTACTATATAGCTCAGTGGATAGACCCACTGAGCTATATAATAATTCCTGGAGGACCGGCTCGTCATTTTTCGGTAACTTCGCCGCCATCTTTTTGTCGAAAAAAACATGGCGGACTTTGCCTTCTGCGCACTGCGCAGAAGTTTTGCTGACGCCATATGGTCCCCTTTGCCCAGGGTAATTACCACTGACCAGGCTCAAATCTGAGCCCGCTACAAGAGATGCTCCCCCCTGGTTTATCTAAACAACAGTATTTCCCCCCTGGTTTTTTTATGAATATTTTTTTGCCGTGAAACATGTTGGAAACCTTGTTGTTTTGTATTTTTCGATTTATTTTTGTGTTACAAAGCGTTGCAATAAGGCGTTTATTTCAGTTCTATACAATCGTGGATGCTGTTTTGCCAATGCCAAAGAAAATTAATATTAAAACGAAAAAAAAAAATGTGGACGAAAAATTTTTATGTACGATTAGCTAACAGTGACAGGTTATTAACCGTTATTTTATTTTTTTAGTATTTATTTTCATTATTCATACATTTCTGTATAAAATTTTTGAAAATATTTTTCGAGTCTGGTCAGAAATTTGGATTATCTTTCGGATATCAATCGCCGACTAAAGGTTACCGGCAGAAAATATGTGGTTATGTGATGTTTTCCTTAAAGAATATCATGCTTATGCATATCAGCCCATGCATAACTCAAGGAAACAAAGGCCAAACCTCATGCAAGATGCTTGGCAGCTGATTAGTAATAGTACTTCAAGATATATTCGCATAGGATATTTTCATTTAGGTCATTATAGCTATAAGTTACCCATATCTTACTGTATCCCAAGTATTGCACTTTCAAATAGTTCCCTGCTTGACTCAAGAATTTGAGTGGAATCATATTCCAGATAATGCAAAGAAAGGCTATGGTAAATAACAAAAATTTGATTATATATGGTACCAAGAAGATTATGGTACTAGTTGTGCTATTAAACAAATGTCTCATGAATTCATGATAATGCAACTGAGCCTATTCATTCCTGTATTAGTCTATAATCTATTAACCTTCAATTCCTGATTAGCCCCATGATAATATTCCTTTGAATGGTGGGGAGGGTAAAACTGTCCAGAAAATTATAAAAGTTGCTGCAAATTGAAAACAAACTGCTCAGTCAATGCATGTCTGTATAAATTTATTTTCCATTTAAATAACTATCTTAACTATAACTAACAAAGTCAACATGGTAAAATTAACAGTTTAATGTTCCAGTAATTTGCAAAAAAGTCATCCCCAAATTCAATAGCATCTTCATCCTAAAAAAGAGAGATCAGACCAAGTTTAACTGTACTCTATAAAGTACACCCAGAGGACAGAGCCAGAGGGGAGTAAAAACCATTGCAAATTAACAATCAATCTTGTAGCTTGAATCAAGCTTGTAGCTTGATCAACAAGGTGCAAGATGCCAAGAAGTCTATTAAGCCATGATTATTGACTTTGCATTTGACAAGGCAAACAAGATAACATACTAGACTTTTAACAACCACTGTTGAAATCTGACAGAAAAATATTTTGTATCAGCACTCACACAGTCATCATGTTTAATGTTTTAAATTCATCTACAATAGACTAAAAAGGATCAATAGAGAGACTACGTAGATTCACTGGGAGGATTGAATCATGGCCAGAAATTGCGGACATGGAATATGCAGATTGCCGTAGCAAATTTGCATATCTGTTCAAATATTATTCGTTTGCAGAACTATAAATTATATTGCGCATTCTTAAATTTCGCAAAATTTACGAAAATCATTGCATCTTTGCAATTTGCCCTGGTTGTTTCCTGTAATTCGTGTCATATTAAAGATCCTGAGGTAATATTTTGCTGGTAAAGGTTTATGTCGGCTCTGCATTTTTATTTTATTTCTGCGCTATTACGGTTTTCGTTTTATATGGTATTCAACGTGATAAATGACCAAAACTTTGTTTTGAAAATGCAGGACGAATACTGAATAAAACATTTTGAAATACTATATAAAAATATTAAGATTAACTTGCTCTGCAACGAGCAATTAAGGCAAATTATAATCGACCTACCTAAAGGTGTATTTTTAGCGTTTAGTACTGTGCACATTACAGTTTACTATAAACTCACGAAGCTTTATTTTGACACCATATGCAAATTTAGGCGGAAGTAGAATGTTAATTATGTCCGAATTTTCTGGCCATGATTGATTCATCTTAATTGTTTGACTGAAAATACTCATGAATTGGCATTAAATATGAGTGAAAGCTCCAGTGCAAATCCCATAAGAGTTCTATTCAAAAGCCAAAACTCAAAAGATCAGTTATTGATCCTTTTTCATAAAATATAGTTTTTAATAGCGTAACTAAGTCATGTACCATTGATCAAAAAGGCTGCACTCTGCACCATATTTGCCGTTTTTAACATTAATTTCAAAATAAATAACTGCAACAGACGCTTTGGTAGTTGTCTATACCAAAGGCGAAAAACGAAAATATTATGAAAACTGGCTTACCTGAGGTAAAAATTAATCTCCCGATAGGTGAATTAGGCCATTCACAGCATCATATGTAGAGCAAGAAATCACTTCTCCATTTAACTTGTTGAACAGGGAAAAAGAGTCTTTTTAGATGAAATGCGGAGAAAATATATGCCGAAAACAATACCGAAAACCGAAAATATATTTTCATAAAAATCGGGAGGGTGATGGACACGTTTTTAACTTTGTATCGCGGTATGTCAGTGGTAATTACCATGGGCAAAGGGGACCATGTGGCGTCAGCAAAGCTCAAAATCCGCCATCTTTTCTGGTACGCTTTTTGGTGGCGAGCCGGTCCTCCAGGAATTATTATATAGCTCAGTGGGATAGACCACACCAATTGCGAAACTTAGTGACCGCGCCTTCGTGCAACATGGAAACGAGGCTTATTATGCAAAAAACAATATTTGTATTTTTTGCAGTACAAAGCTATTCGCCGAGTTATATGCCGTTTTTCGCCTTTGTTTTGAATATTTTTCGATACCTTTCAGCTTAGTTTCATCGTTGTTATCATAGTTTTCAGGTTAGGAAGTTTTGCCTTTCAATTGAGGCGTTTTTGTGGTGTTTTCATTAATCTTTTCGGCTGCTTTCGTCGGGACAGTGTGGAAAAGGCTGACACAAACTCAGGTAAAAATTTAGTTTTTCCAAACTATTTCGTCTCAAGTTTTGAAAATTTATTTCATTTTTCTCCCTCTTATTTGTGCAAAATTAGGCGATATATATTTGGTGCGAATTCTATGTTTTTTTATGTCAAAAATTATTGAAAAGTGACAGTCAGATTATATAATTTTCAAACCTGATGACTGAAATGGCTTCATATATTCCAATTTATTCACAAATATCACTGTATTTTTTATTCTTTATACCACAGTAATACTGTTAAAATGGTCAAAAGTAACTGACTGAAATGTTTTTTGTTTATTTTCGTTTTAATAAAGTACAGACGATGCATAGCCATAGCTTGCATGCCGGCCTGGGGCCGGTTGTATCAAGCCCGTTTAGCTTAAACGGTGGATAAGTTCAAAATAGAAAGCAAGTCTGCCGTTTTATTCAACAAGCAAACTAAATGTTTTTAATCTTAATACAAAGATACTGTTTACAACTACATATTCAGTGCATAATATTCGAGTTGACTCATTCAAGAGAGATGTAAGAGTGTTATTTAATTTTGACTTATCCACCGTTTAGGCTAAACGGGCTTGATACAACTGGCCCCTAAAGGCCGAATTTTATAAAACTAATAAAAGTCGAATTCGAATGCATCTGAGTTTGCATCTGAATTCTGCATTTTTGTTAGTACAAAACACTATTCTTTCTATCTACTACCATGCAATAGATGTTTAATAAGGGTTAACCAGGAATACTTGAAAAGGAAAGGATCCCGTTCACCATCGTAAACGGAAAAACACTCCGGTTTCACCGCGAACTCCGGTTTAAATATTTTTCGCTTTCGGCTTTGCCATCCGATGTAAAGGTGTATCTTAAAAAACGCTGCAGCTCGCATTGTGGCTGCCTTTATAGTATGTTATTGCCGGAAAAGGAATATTCAAATGGCAATTCAAAATAGACAATGATATTATGTTTTGGTTATAAGTATT